AAGTAGAAATGTATCCCCTGCTCTAATATTAACATTTCTGCTACAGCCAATAACCAGCATTGTTTACACTTCTCTACCCATTTGTCACTGTAAAAACACACACAGAGCAGACTTCAGGTAAACTCCCCACCATCCTGTGTGCATCCCTATCACATGACCAAATTCCTTCATTCACACACCCAAAACTGGCAACAAGAGGAAAAGATTATGGTCATCAGAGCGCTACGATGTTCAGGCTGAAGCATCGAACCGAATTAGAATGTCAATCACCTTGGAGTGAGGAAGGCGTCTGCTGATCGGGGGGTGAGAGGCTCAAACTTGAAGGCCGACAGGCCGGCAGGGGCCTGGAAGACGAAACCGTCTGGAGCAAATGAAGGAGCAGGGGCAGCTTCCTCTGGAGCTGAGCTCACCATCGTGGCTCTGTCCTCAGGGCCAGGTGTGGGGTGTGGAGGACAAACTGATTTCTCTTGTTCCTGGACCGAAGGTTCGGTCAGCTCAGTCTCCTACAAAAAGGAAAATGGCGGCAAACAACCTGATGTGTCTCTCTGACTTTAATCTCACTGTAATCCTGTGTTACGGGACACTGAGGGAAAACACTCACCTTGTGCTCAGCAGGCTGGACTGTGGTGCTCAGAGCTGTAGAAATTCAAACACCAGAATTTACATGTATAAGGTTTTTTTTTAATGGTGTATAGCTTGCATTTATTTTATGCTGTCTTTGATTTGATGGTTGTTGTGAGTTGTTTATTACAATTTTGCCCTTTGCTGCTGAACATCCCCAAGGTGGAATTAATGTATCTATCCTAAAGTTTTAATCAGTCTTAAAGGGGCAGTATAGCTTATTTTTCAGGCACATAGATCCATCTGATAGTACAATCAAGTCATTATGTTAACTTCAGCTGTTAGAAAAATGCTGTATATATCAAACAGAGTTTAAGGACATTAGATGCCTTATAATTAGGCATCTGTCTCTTTAAAAGCTCCTGCTCTTTCTGAAACTCCACCTTCAGAAAGTCGTTGGCTTCTCTATTCACCCTTTAACATTTTTACCAGTGTTGAACTGAGAAGTAGCTGCCATAATGAGCTCAGTAGATGCACAGTTCCACCAGGTGTTTGCTAATTGCTGCTGGTTAGTCTGGAGGAGCTGAGGGGGGGGGGGGGGGGAGGTTGTTGGGGGAAGAGGAAGTTTGGAAACTGCAGCTCTGAGGGGGAGCAGCGTCTCAAAGGCGGGGATAGGTCCACCCAGGTGTTTTACACAACTGAATAGTTGCCACGAAAATTAAAGGATTTCTAGACTAAGCATGAAAGAATCAAGGCAACACTCAAGGTATGTTTTTGATGATGAAACATTATAACATGATGAATAGATTTAAAAAAGTCGATTTTACATTATACTGCCCCTTTAATTCAGGTCAGACCATTGTGAAAATACTTTGTACCTTTACAGTTCCTTCTTTCGCCAGACGAGGGCGGTAGAGGGTTGACAACTGCTCTGTTCCTTGTGGTTCTTCCTTCTGAGAACAGAGACGGACTTTACATATTCAGTTTTCTGGACCAACCAAATCAAACAGCTCTTAAGCAGCAGCTAGGAAGCCTATGATTGTGTAACGTACCTCTGGCTTTAGGATTGTCTTTCACCTCAGCTTGAGCTTTAGTAACCGGAGGCCTGTTGGCCGATCTGGTCGATAACGCTCGGCCGCCTGGCCCTAAAGCAGCAGGACAGCCTGACAGACACACAGATTGACATGCTAATATGGAAACACTATAGCTGCTGCTGAGGCAGGCGTCCCGTCCAGAGGGTTACCTGCACTGGTATTGGTGGCAGTGGAGGGTTTGAGAGCAGCAGCACGGCTCCTGGCTGGGCGCTCAGCACACGGCTGGACTGAAAAGGAAGGAGGGAAGCTGTCAGTTAATGGCTCAGATCGATCTAAAACAACATCATCATGGAAGAGTCGGAGTCACCCAACTCGAAGGAAAAGTTGTTACATACACTCCTTCCATTTTGATGATTACTGGCTACATCCAAAGGAAGACCCAAACTTATGTTTCTCAAAAAGTTTGTATTACATGACACCCATGAAGCGGCCATAACAGTAATATATATATCGCATATTAATATCAGCCCAAATGTTCAAATCAGAGCATCCCTCATTTCACTTGGTCGTGTTAAAATAAGCTGCTTGCTCCTGACTTACCTTTGTTTGCCCGAGTGTTCTGATGCTGCATCACCAGAGGCTACAGAAACATTTGCAAGAGAAGAGCAATAAAATATGTTTTATATTTTACTTGGTGTATTACAGGTGGACATGAGAAAATCCTCAGGATCAGAATCGCAGGATTTACCCTCTGTGGTTCCTGCTGGGGCTGTTTCATGGAGCGAGTGACTCTGCTGCTCTGGGGTGGAGCTACGTTCACTTTTCTCTGAAAGAAAGCCATCATCAGACATTTATTTTTAGTAAAACGTGTTTTTGCTCATCTAATATATAAACAGAAACCAGATGTGTGTGTGATGGGTAGATCAGCACCTCTCTGGGTCTGGATGCAGCAGACGGGACAGCAGGCAGCGGAGCAAGACTGAACGTGTCTTTGGGTTGGTAGAGGCCAATCTTGAACACTCTTTTTGACTCCCTCTCTCTTTTTTCCATTTCCTTCTTCAGCTCCTTCTGCTCTTTCCAGTTCTGCAGCCGCTTCAGCCTGTCTACTGCTGCGGCTGTAGGAAAACAAATATCATAAGACACAATTAGTGGCAAAGAAGTCCAAAGAATCCAAGAATTCAGAATGCAGCATGGATTTTTAAAGCATCTCTAGAGATGCCTGTGTGTGGAAAAGTGAGCTCATACTGTTAGCTGGTGTGGCCTTGATCCGTGTCTTCTCCTGAACAGTGGACATGTTGGTAGTCACCATGGAGACGTCCAGGGAAGACACGTCCGCTTCTGGCAGTTTGTCCAGCTGCCTGCGAGTATTCACCATCCGCTCCCGGTTCTCTTTTTGGCACTGAGATCTCCGGCGTGACTGCTTCACTCGGAGCATTGACACGCTCGAGTCTCGCCGCCGAAGGTCAGCAAATCGAGAATCCATTTTTGAGAGATCTGCAGGAATGGAAAGACAGAACGTATCCGATTTTCAGCTTCCACAAATGTTGATGAAATAAAGGAAATCTACTGTAAGCTGCTGTGATCAAAAAGTACAAGGTGTGTGGAACACAGCAGATAGTGGAAAAATAAATGTTGGTTGAGCTCTGGCTGCCAATAACTTCATGTTCCCTTTCTATAGATGACCCAGTTGGTCCTGCCTTTAGGTGTTTGACTGCATCTCCACACACTACTGAAATTATTTTCTCTTTACTTTTTATTTAGGATTAAACATACTTCTGGAAGAGTGCTTCATGCATTTGCTCTGTTCTCTAAACACCCAGTTGGTCGTTTACATGAAGTCAGGTTCTGGTGTTGCTGGAGGTTTCTTTCCTGTTAAAGGGGAGATTTCCTCTCCACTGTTGCTACATGTCATATAAATATATACGTCAGTCATAGCAGCTCTTCTTTAACATACTTTTAGTCAACTAAAGGTAAACAGTAGCTATTTACACTAGCAAATGCAACTACCTACTACCCACATAGTAAGTAAAACACATCTCTCTGCGCAAATGTGACTGAATCCACATCACCCGATCAGCCCTTATACGGTAAGACGGTCTAAATTCACTCAAACTTGCTGCAGTAATTTAACAACAACAATAAAATTAAACTAGAATATATTTATTTATAATGGACGACCAAAGATAACCCAAAGCTAGCTAAGCTGCCCACTCATTGAAAACTAACAGCAAGCCTTAAATACCTTTAACATAATACATAATAACAGCCACCAACAAACAAATAAATACTAAATTAATACTCTACCTGATGTTATCTCTAAGAATAATGCGCAAGAACCGTGTCTTCTTTTCAAAATAGCAACTTAAAATCTAAAATCCGAACGAGCCCAACGAACACAGTGAACGCAACCTAATTTAAGAAACATAACAATAATGGCGGTTGAATTTTTGAAATTCTGTTAAAGTGACCCTGATTGGCTGCCTGCCACAGGACTGGGCTTCTGATTGGTGCTTCTCATCTTCCTCTTTTTCTTGGCGGATCTTCAGAGGTGCATACTGCCACCTACTGTAGATGTTTAACTCATTGCCCCCTGTTTTATTTTTGTTTACAAAAATGTTTTATCATCCTGATTTTCTCCTTATCGTCTTTTGTTTCTAACATTTATTTTAAACTATTCTTTCCGTATTTCTCTTACTTTCCCCCTATCCTCCTTTAGTTGCATAAAACACTTCTGACTGGTGCTTTTTCTTTGATGTTTTCTTTAGTTAATTCACTACTAAGCAGGAAGAGATTTTCAACAAGTAATCCTCTTCCTTGGAATCTGTTGGAATCAGTAAATCAAATACAGAATGGTATATAGGAAGTTTAGTTTAGCTGGATAATAATGTTTGTTCCAGTGGTAGACTGTCTGATATGAATTAAATTCCAAGATTGACGAGGACCGAGAGCTAAGAACTATCTTTTAAAATATATACTTAAAGTATAGGTCTTCGGATTGAGTGTTTTCTATGTTTTAGGTACAACTTTACCATATCAAAATATAACTGCTTATTTGTTTCCAGTTAATTGCAGTTAGATATACTATTCATTGGGGCATATTGTCCCCACTGTACAGTGACACCAAAATATATGGCTAATAAAAAATATTTTCACTTAAGTATTTCACAAAATACAAAGTGTTTAAAAAGCCCACTGAAATAGAACAAAACAGCTGATTCAGCTTTGTATTTTTGCTGACATCACAAGTATAAAAATCAAGCTGCTGTGTTTAAGCCACGATTTCTTTCTACAGTAATCTACTGTGTCCAGGAAATCCCTGTTTAAATGTAATGTTAATAGTGACCCACAGATGCATGTTTCATTGCCTTTACTTGTGATTTAAAGCTAAGAGTAAAATGCAGTTTATACATTTAGGAAAATGACTTCATTTATTATTTCAAGTTAGTGCAGTTGTATACAAACCCTAACAATAGTTCTGACATGATGACATCTTAAAACCATAACTGATCACCAAATAAAACTGGAATGAACACATCAGTACATGTCAGTTTTTAAATTAAAATGAGACAATTTCATCATGATCTCAATAAAAATATCCACAAATATATAAGGGGGAACTTAAAACAGATGATAAAATCAAACAAATATGTACAGAGAAAATGAGATGCAGTACATGTAAAGTAAAATCTATATTATTTTTTTACAGGTAATTACAAGATAAAATTACAATTTTAGTCTATTAAATAAAAAAAACTTGGTGAGAAAGCTTTTCAACAATATTGTTTATTTTACAATGCAATTATTGCATTACATTGATGCTGCCGCTGAAACCCTGACAGTTTTTAGTGTGATCAGTCGCCATCTTGTTTGCTCAGTCCAAGAAGAAAATGTTGTTGAATTGCGTCGCACAAAGCCTCTTCACTTCCTCTGGAAATCAAAAATGAAAATGGATAAGGTTGAAAACATGACAGCATGTTCTGGTTAGAATACACAACTGCACTTCCTGTTGAAGGACGCACCGTTTACTTCAATCAGATTGGCGTTCTTTTGATTTAGGATCACATAGAGCTCTCTCTGGTCTGACTTCTTGCCGACGACCCAGTAGTCCGTCATAGCTTTTACTATGATTTCCTCATCTTCGTCAACCCTTGGGAGCAGATTGGTAGAAATCAGCATGAGGAAGTACATGCAGTAATGTTTATTGTACTTTGTATACAAATAGATTTTTTGAGGCTTAAAGCTGCAGTATGTAACTTGCATTAGCAATATGTTTTTTACATATTTGTTAACATTGTCAACGTGTCATGACTGTATAACATGAGACAGATTATCTGTCTCCCTGTGACTTTACAGCCATCCGCAGAAATACAGCAGTCAGAAATAACCGATGAGAGCCAGGAGGAGGGTCTTAGTTCTGTCAGTCAGCTCATGTTCGCTCTACTCCAGAGAAATGGAAGTAACTAAAGTTTTGCCTTAGACCGCCTTCAGGGACAGCGGAGCTGGAGGAGACACTTTAGCTTCAAGCATGGCAGAACAATCTCTTTTTGTAAGAAGATGGCAACGAGGAGAACTGCAGCTTCGGCCATTTTGGTGACCTTTGCAAAAGTCCTGCTGATTGGTTTTGTACATTTATGCTATTCTTAAATTTTTTAATAAAACTTGAAATGTAACGTCTTGATATATTTCCAAAAAACAAAACAACTTTTTTTGCGAATGGCAACACAAAAGCTCACAACCCCTCCATACAACTCGCTGCGCGAGAAAAGTAGGTTTTGTCCTCCTTCAACATAATTTTCCATACATTTCAAACCAGATATTTACATATTTACCCTTGATACTGACCAAATGTATGTAAACTTGAATTTGAGGAAAGTTATAAGAAAAGAAATCATTCATCACCAGGTTTTCTGGCATTTTGCAAGTAGAAATAATTTTGGTAATTCTAACAAACCTAAAGCAAGAAATTGGTCGAATTTAACTTCAAACAGTGAGAAAAAAATGTGTTTGTGTCTTTTTATTCAGTGTATGTAAACATGTGGTTTCATTGTTTATGCAATGAGCATTTTTACCCTACAGCTCAAAATACAGAACAAGGAATTGATCCCATTTCTGTAAAGTACACTGCAATTGTTTGTGGAATGTGGTTTGTGGAATGTCTGCTTTTATGCCAAAAATGAAAGTTTAAAAACAAACTACCATAAAAATTATAGCCATTTTATCAGTAATTTTGCAAAACCTGTAAAAACACACAACATAGAATCTTCAACATGAAAAATCTCTCAGAATGATGTGGCTCTTTGTGGTGTTCTCTTACGAGCACAGAGTATTAAAAGGTTGAGTTTCTCCAACTGAAACTTGTATCTATTCGATGCTTTCAGGACAGAGCAGATTGGCAACATGCCACTGGGAAATAAAACACCACCCTGAATATTTGTTTAATAAAGCTCCAGGATCTGCTGCTGTACCTTGCAAAGTCACAGTTGATGTCTCCCAGGATCTTCATGAGGTCAGGGTGGACAGAGGTCAGACACACACTGGCGGTTTTCCTCATGTGAATGGTGCTCTTCTCCGCCAGGTTCATGTGGTTAAAGTAGATAAACTTGAACTGGGGTTCCTTCTCTGGCCTACAGCAACAGTATGGGAGACACACAAACAGGACAGGATGAACCAAAACAGCTGAACATGAGTTTTAGCAGCAGTTTGTCATTCCTCTGAAACTGGGATCAATTTGTTTCATTCCAACAGGAAGTGGATTGCTGAGTGGAAGGCAGCAGGAGCCCAAATTCAGGATGGAGATGTGAATGATAGCTGAGGAATTTGGAACCTTATTATTTATTCAGCACATTCTTTACTAAGTTGATTACGAGGAGCCCATCGAATTGCCAGGGCCGGTCTAAGATTACGGATCTGGAGCTAACTGATGGGGTCAAAGACACATGGACCGGGATGCCAGTCCTTAGTGCTGCCTTGCTTGAGTTACCCTTTAAGAGCTTCCATGATGAGCTGCAGTAATGTTAGAGTTCTGTCTGTGTCTGCCAGCCAGGCAGAGTTAACACATGATGACAGGTGATATTCAGAACTGGAATCGCAAAGCCCTCGATTTACCAATAGCATTCAAGTTAAAGCAGCATGCCAACTCTGCTATTTAATTATTCCACAAAAACATTTCTCCTGCCCTGATGGAGTCTTTTTTTATTTTTGCTAATAGGCTACAGAGGCAATAGTACAAAATAGTCACCCAACTGGCCAGTTTGAGGAAGAAAAAAGTAAAAAGCTGCTAAGTGTTTTTGAAAGCTGTGTGTGTGTGTGTAGGGTTAGTGGTAACACTTTATTTGAAGGGGGGTGAATAAGACTGACATGACACTGTCATAAACATGACATAACACCTGTCATGAACATCAATAAGTCTTCATGAATATTTATGACTGTTGTCATAAAGCGTCATTCGGTAAATTATGACACTTTTAATACAAAGTTGACATTATTCAAAATGTCTTTGTTATGACAACTTGACATTAACCAAGAAATCATTACTGTTTAAACTTTACCTTTAATAACATAAAGATACCTGATTTTTAAAGTGCAATCAGTATCAGTAATACTTTTATAACAAATTTATATCAGTAATGATTTCCAACATTAGTGGGACAGTTTGCATGATTTAGACCAGATGTGGATCACAGAATATCTGCAATAAACAATCGCTTTTCTTGCTCGCTACTATTATTACAATAATTTATTGTATTCAACAGTGAAAAATGTTAAATGTGTCTTTAATAGCTCAAAGTGAACATAAGTCTTCAGTAAGTATGCAAACATTCGACTGAGCTGTATTTCTGGACCCAAAAAGAAAAAGGCCAGTTTTAAGTCAATGTCGATTACTGGACACAGTTCATACATCACACTGACGCTTCTAAGACACTTTATGATAAGTTGCATGACTATTATTCATGCTATGAGTCACCAATACCGCTGAGAAGAGGAGGAAAACTAAATAAAACTATCTTTGTACAGTGGAGGAAGAGAGAAGCAGGCACTGACCCAGATATCCTGCGGTTTATTGTGAACTGTTCACATATATCTGATGCCAGCAGAGTCAGCTGGGGGCCCACCAAGCCGTCCAGCTGCTCACAGAATTCCCTGGTCAGCTCCACGTTGGCTGGGAAAAGATGGCGGACAGAAGAAATTCAGTCGAAACAGGATAAAATGTCTTATGTCAGCTCAATATGAGGAAGAAGACAGCATGAATCCATTAAAATAAATAATGTAGGCTTTAATTTACCACTGATCATAAAACAAGCAGCTGCGCTCATCGCCTGCAATGGAAAAAAAAAATAAAAAAGGAAATCAGTGCAGGTTTCATGCAGAATCTAGGTCAAAAAGGTTGAAAATTCACACTAATCGGATGATAAGCATTGCTGGAAGTACTTCATTTTAAAATTGAGCCATGTAATCCAGAAAAATCCATCCATAGAGAAGGAAGAGACTTAATCCTACAGCTACCATGATAAACAAGAACCAAAATCCCCCCCATTACAGATTAGGTTAGAAAATCATCCTGATAATGAATGACCTGGTCACTGATACATTTATAATATGAGTGAGGATATGAATGGATCAACAGCAAAAAACAGAGCAGAGTCAGGTTTGATTCCACACACACCTTATAAACGATTAGATGCAGCTCCTCATAGCCATCTTCTGCACTCACAAATATTTTGGGGAATCGGAATTTGGCCTCTGGATCTTTGAGGTTAGCAGGTCCTGTCAAGAACCTGAGGACAAGTGGAGACAGGGGAGCGAGGACTGTTAGGTGGTCTGGAGTTTTACATGAGTTAAAAGTTACACAATACATGTAGTGGTTTTGAAATGATGAAATATTCAACATTCATAGTCCAGAGCCCAAAGCAGGAGTCTGCAGCCATAACATCAACAAGTGAGGTAAAGATGTGTAAATAGGTTTTGAATAATGCCATATTTTAGTACAGTAGCATAATCCACCCATCCTCTGTCCAAACCTGCCTATACAGCAGCATCAAACACAGACTGCTGAAAAACATGATGCAAAAATTCAATTAGCACATCCAGTGCATGCCGTGATGCACGGGGAACACAGCAGTAGATAAATTCAAAGGTTTTTTTCTTACAGAGGACAGGATTAAAGAGAAGATGGAATTACCTCCCATAATGCAACAGATTTCCTGTGACTTCAGGCCTCAGAGGAGAGTCTCTGCCAGCCAACTGCAGCAGGAAACAGGAAAAACACAAAAACGTTCAGTTTTAAAAAGTACAATGCATTAACAAAGTCATGTTATTGTAGAGAACATGAAAAAAACTGTTAAGTGCACAAGATCTTGATGCAGGATTGAAACGTCCTGTGAAATAATCCTCATAAATTCATTCTATATGAATTCTGATTTGCTCTACTGAGGTGACTTGTGGAGTTTTTCATACCTTCAAACTTCTGGAAATGAGTAACAAAAAGTTGTAATTTTTTTAGGTCCAGACTTTGAATATGCTTTGATCATTAGCATTCCAGTGCAACTCTAGATGTATCTTTGGCTGTATCTACTTTAGGTGAACATTTGTCCCAGTTTCAAGTCTTCTCGTCTCACTTTGCTACTTTCTTCTTCTACTACTCTCCAGTTTGGATCATTTGCTGTCATTTCACTGTCAACTTTTTGTGTTCTCTCACTTATTTTTCTCTCCATTGAAGCTACACTTGGTGTGGTGTTCTGTTGATTGTGGTTCCTTCCTGGACGAGGGAATCAGCTGACATAACACTGCCTTCACCTAAACCTTCTCAATCTCCTGCTGTTATTAGCACAAAACAAACATCTATATATCAGCTCATCTGTTTCTTTTCTGTGTGTCTGCGCTCACACTGAGCCAGGTTCTGGTTCTGCTGGAAGTTTCTTCTTGTTAAAAAGCAGTTTTTCCTCTCCACTGTCGCTACATGCATGCTCAGTATGAGGGGTTGCTGAAAAGTCAACGACACAATACAAGAGATCATCTCCTGTTGCTACATGTTCATCCAGGAGTGCATGATGCAAGCTAATGACTCAATCCAATCTCCTTGGTTTCTCTTAAATAGAAAACTTTGTAAACTAATTTGAATAATAAACTGAGCTTAATAGAAAACTCACAGCAAAAACACAAAATCTTACCTAGTAATTTTGGTCTAATATCTAGAGAAAATATCTTAGTACACTTGAAATAAGACAAAACTAACTTGCAACTAAGTTTTCAGCAGGATATAGAAGTTTAAGTAATTCCTTATTATTGATGAAAATGTGTTTATTCTATTGTCAGACTATTTTATTTATAAAAAGAAATTTTTTCCATTTCAAATGTACTAAGATATTTGCTCTAGAAATTAGACCAGAATTACTTAGTAAGATTTAGTGTTTTTGCAGTGTAGGATTAATTTGAATGCATGTGTGATAGAACTGAAATGACTTTCTTCATAAAGTGCCTTGAGACGGCATCTTGAGTGAATTGGTGCTGTGGAAATGAACTGAACTGAGCTGACTGTCTTGTACTTGGCTTCAATGTCCCTAACATCAGGACACTTCTCTTCTTGGTGATTTTGAAGTGTGTCATGTTAACACTAAAATGTGAAAACGTCCAGTAGGTATGAAGACATTTGCAAGGCTTTGTGCCCGGGATTCACTTCCATGTACCTCGGGCTCTGAGTGCCTGGGAAACAACGACGTGGTCAGATACTTGTAGAGGATCCTCATGTCGTCCTGCTCCAGACCACTCCTGCACACACAACCATGACAACAACAACAAAAATCACTTTTAAACCCTTTAAAAAATATTTTTTTCTTGTAACAGAAGCTGAGGCGTGAAATGGACACTATGAGTAGACAGAGTATTTGTCTGCTAACTAAATAAACCCCCTCCTGTCTGTAGACTGTTTACTGTGAATCACCTTTAGTTAACATCCAGGTATTTACCTACTGATCTAGCAGGCTGACATTGTGTGACCTGTCAGGTCGCATGCAAACCATAAAGAAGATTAGACTTCTTGTTCAGCACCACCTCTGTTTATTCAGCATGTTTTTATGACTTAATCGTGGGATTCTGCCATTGGAAGTGGCTGCAGACATGCAGGGTTGTTTTAAGGCAGTGGGAGTTGGCAATTCTGGTAAAGAGCGGATTAGCTGGATGAGCGTGTAAAGTTTTGACAGTTTGTACCAGATAAGCTGGTCATTGTAGAGGAAGGCTGTGTATTTGATGAGGCTCAGGCTCTCCTCCACTCTGTTGACAAAGGACTGGATCTTCAGGTAGGTCATCTTGTCCAGGGGGAAGAAGCTGATGCCTCCAAAAACGTCCAGCAGGTCACAGGACTGCAGATGAAGCGTCTGCAGATACTGGACAGCGCCGAGAAAAGACGACAAAAAAAAAAAAAAAAAATTAGTTTACAACGCAAGAAAAAGAGCAGACTGAGAAGTTCTTGACCGATGTGATGCAGAAGCTCCTGCATCAGAGAAGGGATAAGATGTTCAGCTGACATTCAAGCTCAGATACAGAACACCGCAGCGTCTACTTTCTCTCTGTGTTTAGGTTACACGGTGGAGAGGGAAGCCTGGATCAATTTAAGGTCTCCCCTAATTAAAAATGAATTTTTTAAACTTTTATACAGAGTTGGTTAAGGCAAAAGTAGGCCTGTCAGCATGACAAATATAGCTGGACAATAAATTGTCCCAGAAATTATGGCAATAAACAAATGCAACGTTCACCATCTAAATGATTGATAAACTCCAACTTTGTAAAGAACATTTAACACAGGAACTTGAAGAAAATTTAAATAACCGAAAAAAAAAGAAGAAAAAAAAGACCAAAAACAATGAAGTGGAAAGAAAGAACAAACATATTAAAAAGAGTGAGAATTAATTATTTTTTTAAATTTATCATGCAATTAATTGGTCAATGTAACAGGCTTAGGCAATTATGTTGATGCTGAGAAGTGAACACAGTCAAGGCAGGTCGCTAAGGGCTGAGAAATGAACCCCAACTCCAAACATCGCCCTGTTGTTTTTACACACACACACACACACACACATACACGCACACACACACACACACACACACACACACACACACACACACACACAAACACACACGCGCGTGCACACACACACACAAACACACACGCGCGCGCGCACACACACACACCGACGAAGTCTCTGGAACTGAGACGCAGATGCTTATGGAAACACCGTCAGGCTCTGGTGACTTGAAAAAAGAAGCAATGCCGGACTTAGTTTGACAAAGACAATATGTACCATCCAAAACAAGGCCAAACAAAAAGACACCTAGTAACAGCAGCCAGCTGGACAGACGTCGGCAACATTTACCCTGTAGAAGAACTTCTCAAGCTTCTGGATGAGCAGCTCCACTCCGCCGGATTCCATCGCCCGACCGAAAGTCCCGTTAAACAGCTGCAGAACCAGAGAAATAATAAAATGATTAAAACTACAATTTAAAGAAACATTGTTTTTACTGGAACCAGGCGGTGTAAAACTCTCACCTTGTACATACTGTAGCACTGCCGGACCACCGCACCGTAAACCGTATCCTTTAAAAAGAGAACAAGGTGGTAAATTGGAAAAAATAAATAAACCACCAGAAGTTCATGTTTTTATCTTTGTCATGTGACTCCAGTGGTTTTAAACCAACAGCAGCTTCAGTATTGTCAAACATGTTCCACATTAAACTTCATAGCAGCTCCAGTTGAGACTAAACTTATTCATATTATTTTTCTGACTGGTAGTGTTAAGAAAATAAATTTAAAATATGCTAGTTTTAAAACTTAGCAACATGTCTTGATTGAAATAGCCTAATTATAGTTTTCAGATTAATAACTTCTTCTGTCCCATTTACCTTTATGTTAGCTGTAGTTACAGCAGATTGTTTGCTAAGATCTTTTGAACTCCCCATTGTCTGTGTGGGAAACAATCAGGAGAAGTTCCAGCTTTCACACTAATCTGTGAAAAGCCATAAAACAGCATGAGTTCAGGCCAGTAGAGGAGAAGCTCTGCTTCCACTTTGCTTAGATAAAGGTGACAACTGGTGTTTGATCTTGAAAACAAATTGCAGGGAGTTTCTAACTTTTAAGAGGGTCCGAGACAGCTCCTGGTTGGATGAGCAAAGATACGCCTTATTTGAATATATTGAAGACAAGAATACACCTTTACTATAAAAGTTTGTACACAGGAGTAACAAATCAGATTTGGCTCTTTGCAATTTCTCCTAAGACGTATTTGCTTTTTGTTTGTTGTTTCCATCTTTTGTCTTTTCCCTCTCTCATGTAAATTCATGTGTTTGTGCTCTGAGTTTTCTGATGTTTTGTGATGTGCTTTTCTGGTGATAGTATGCATATGTCTTGAATAAATGCTGATTATTGTGACACTGTTATCTCTTTGTGATCTCAGTCTTTGCACATAGCATTTTCTGAATCCGGGCATAAGAGAGGATATAACGAGTCAAAAGGTTTTAAAAAGTGTTAAGTTTTAGAATTTTTCCTCTCTTAATAGTAGTAATGTTAATGTTCTGGAGTGGCCCAGCCAGAGTCCTGAACTGAATCTAGCAATCTGTGGATTAGGGTGATGGTTAGGAGGCCCTCCAACTCCAAAGAGCTGGAGCTCACTGCTAACAATTCATTGATTATTAAGAACGATATGAATTATTTTCAACATGTTGTTTTTTAAATATAGAAAAAGTACAATAAGATTTTATTTTTTTTTAAACTGACATTCCTTTTACATTTCTTCCTTATCTTTTAAGGGATGCCCGTCTGAATTCCTATCAGAACCAAACTCCTTGGTTGAAGGAAGATATTTATAAATCTGAATATGCTGTAACATTGATGCATTTTAGAAATCTCTGAATTCAAGCTAAACCTTGGTAAATGTATACTGTTTCCACAAAAACCTGACCTGCTTGTCAATAGCTAACAATAGCATTACATTGAAACAAGGGCGTAGGTTCGGTCTAAGTTTTGGTGGGGACCTTGACCATCGTTCTGCTCTGCCCCTTGCTCTGCTGTCTGAGCATCCTATGTGACAAAATATTACATAATTAACAGACCTATTCTACCTCACATTCAGTGCTGACCTTACTAAACAAACTGACTTTACAACAAATGCGTTGCGTGATAGATATCTAACTTATGGGTCCACTCACTGTACTTACAGCCGACGTAGCGAAATAACTTCTGTCTGTCCTTTTCTTTTTTGGTGGCGACATGGTCTCGGAGACTCAGAAGGAGACGCGTGTGCCAAGCTAGCCGCCGCCTTTTGCAGCTAATCAAAGAACGTCCGACGATTCAACTGACTCCCCCTCCCCCCGCCCCCCCGACACGGTCTCGGAGGCTCATAATAAATGTCAAACTAAGAAGCTTCCGTTCCGCACCGCCTGTTGCTGCTAATCAAAGATCGTAGTTCCACGTTCTTTGAGCCAATATGGCAAAAATTGGGCAGGACTTTTTCATATCCCGTGAATATTGGTCGGGACATGTCCCTACCGTCCCTACCCAAACCTACGCCCATGCATTGAAATGAGAAAACTCCTGCTCTTTCTGAAACTCCGCCTTCAGGAAGTCATCACAACATGGCTCCTCTATTAACCCTTTAACATTTTTAACAGATTTCTGCTGTATTCTGTAGATTTAATTCTATATAATAATTAAACCTTAGACATAACATTTATTGACTGTGATAATCAACATAATAGTTTAGAAGGAAGTGAATGATTTATATTTTTTCTCTTAAATAAAATCAATAAGATGGGAAGTTTTAGATTTTTTGTTAAAAACCCCTAAGAAGGCAAACTGCAGTATTATTCTCTACAGGTAGTCCTTATTAACTCACAAGTAGTTCTTCTTCTTGATACTCTATTGTGGAAGGTTTGCCATCTTTGTTCGGTTTCTCAATCATTGGGTTTCGAACTACCTGCAGAACAAAAGCACAAGAAAAACAACAAAAAAAGTTACTCTGACTAAATATCAAAATAAGTCCAGAGGAATCGAGGAAATCTGTAGATGCTGTATACCATGACGATCCAGAAATTTTCCTCTGGCTCAAAGAAAAACTGCCGATTCTTCTGTGTGTGAAGGGATTTTGCTGGTTTTGTTGGACAGAAAGTCCTGGAACAAAGAAGTGAAAAAGAGGATGCATTAAAAAAAGATAACTAGCCGATCCATTGTGGGTTTTTTGATTAGACATTGATTATTTCCCTATTCCCTCCAGCTTTTTGTTTTTTTGTTTTTTCACAAAGTACCTACAAACATGCAGCGTTGTGGCTGCAACTGCAGTAAAATGAGCTTCTACAAAGTCTTAAAGGGGCAGTGTCATGCGTTTTCCAGGAACATGGTACCATTTTATAGCACAATCAAGTAATTATGTTAGCTTCAGTTAAAAATAATGTATATGTCAAATATGACTTAAAAGAAATTTGACTTTGTAATTTAACCCCTAGAAAGTGGTCTTCTGTCTCTTTAAAAGCTCCTGCTCGTTCTGAAACTCTGCCTTCAAGAAGTCATCACAACATGGCTCCTCTACTAACCCTTTGACAGCGACTTTATTAGTGTTACACTAAGGAGTAGCTCTTATAATGAGCTCTGCTGATATGCAGTTCAACTAGGTGTTAGCTAATTACTGCTGGCTAGTCTGAAGGAGCTGAGTGGCTGGGGGTTGCTCTGTGAGACAGAAGCTCGGTAGCTTGGAAAGTCCAGCTGGGTGGGATAATCAACGTAATATTTTATAATTAAAATATTCATTTTAATTCTAAGTGGTGCCTAGTCATTGCTAGGCCCACCCAGGTGTTTTACATAGCTGAATGGTTGCCACGGGAGGTTAAAGGATTTCTCAAACATGCAACAGTATAGCAGTACTGTAACTTACATTACAGTTAATGTAAGATGAACTTACATTAACTGTTGCTTTGTTAATTTTTCAAAGCAAGAGTTAATGTAAGTTTATGATGAGGGAATAACATGAGGTAAAGCTCAATAAAGTAAATTTTACATAATAATGCCCCTTTAACTCACGGGAGGTGAATACAAATACACAACCCAGTGTCTGATTTTCACAACTATTCCATTTCCATTTCACAACTATGTACAGCTTCATCTTGGTGCATCACATTAAATCATTGAATCCCAATCAATTACTTAGAAGTTGGAGGTTTTAGTGACAAAAGACCTGAACATTGTTTTTGCAGAGGCATCATGAAATCAAGTGTTAATGATGTGTTGTACCTGGTGAATTGAACAATGGCTTCACAAAGGCCCACATTTCTGATTTTCTCATTCTTCTCAATCTCACTGGGGTGATAAAACAAAATCTTTTTCTCTTCCTGAAAGGAAAAATTTGATATGAGAAACTTAGTCCAGAACAAGGTTTTGCAGAGAAGCCAAAGAGATGTCCTCCACTGAAAGCCCCCTCTCACCTCTCCTTCCCGCGGTCCAAACGTAGGGTTATAAATGAAAAAGCTGAGAAGGGATGGTGTGTACTGTTTGTCTTGTGCTCCTGAGGCCATTTTAGGACTGGGAAAGGACAAAGACAAAGAGTTTGGACATGGAAACCTTCAGTTTCATCCAGTCTGACCCAATACCATCACTGAATCTTTCTTACCTAATCATTAGCATTAGTGAAACTTGGGTTATGGTTTCCTTTCCTCAGGTGACAGTCCGTGTGCCTGCAGGAAGGGTAGTCATATTCTGTATATATATATATATATATATATATATATATATATATTCAAGTCCTTTTATCAGATCAACAGTACCTTTTGTAAATAACAACCTTTAAGCAGTTATTAAACATACTTTTCATTAAGTCCATATTTTTGCTTTTAAAAATAGTTTTTATTGGTCTGATGTAATATTCGAATTTTAAATGTCATGTTTTCATTAGCTGTTAGCAGAAACATCAATTAACTTGATAACATAAATCTGTAATCTAATCTAATCTATATATTTTCAATAATATTTTCATTTATTGAATGGGTTGGCGGGTTACTGAGGGATTTACAAATATTGTATTTTTTTTTTCAATCATCACTCAAAATGTGATGACTGATAAACGTGATCTTAATTTTACACATCTTTGTTGACCCATGATAACATTAACTAGCATTAACCTTTATTTGATGTTTTCCCATGAGTGATTTTGGGACTGGCACAAGAAGGAGGAATGTTTATAATATAACTTGTATCTATACTTAAAGATGGTAAAATCATCGAGTACATTTACATCACTTTTTAAGCCAGATCACTCAGACATCAACTAAACAGTAAACATCAAAAGTCCTGTAAGTATATTGAGTTTTTAGTTGCGTTTTCAGAAAGCTCAACAGAATCCACCGACCCCAAAGGGTAGAGGGCTTCAGAGTTCTGGGGATCCTGCTCCCTGGCAGAGACTGTGCTCACATGACCTTATCTGCAATCTGTGGCTCCAGAGTCACATGTGGCCCTGGGCCCCTTCACAATCACTCTTCTTAACTACGACCACAACTGATAGAGAAACAAGAGTTGTCTCCAATACATATGCAACAGGATGACTGGCTGCAACAATTATCTTTATCTATGCGAGTTTATTTAGACATGAGGTTGCTACTGTGTTTTAACACAATAGCATAATAAAATTATTTAAATATAGGGCATGTTGTACAGCTTGACTAGTTTTATTTATTTATTTAATTTGTGGCTCTAACTGATTTTATTTAGCAAGGAGCATGACTGGCTCAAGGGACGTTAAAAGTTGCTGAACCCTGACCTAGGGACATTCAGATTGAAACGTTCTGAGATGTATGCCAGTAACTTACTATTCAAAGTACTATAGCTAACAGCCAAGATCATACAGTTGAATGGATGGGGGCCTGTGGAGCAGGACAAGAAACAATGTGACATGAAAAAAAGTGATTTTCTCTTAAATCTTCCAGCGGCACACTGTACAACCTGCAGACGGCCCAGGGATGCTTTGTTCGCAGAAATTGACATTATGAAGAAACAAATACATGACAAACAATTTCCAGTTCTGTTCTAGAGATGATACTACTTAACCTAGCAATATTTCATAAGTCTAAATACACCTAAAGGTTCCTGATGGAAAACTTGGCAGAAGAGGTGAACATTCAAAGAGTTTCCATTAGAGTTGTGTCCTTTTCTGGAGCACAAATAAGTTCAGTTTTACCTTAGTTTAGTTCGAGAAACATCTTGCACAGTCTAAGCAGCTGTGTAAGAAATGTTGCTGTTCTGCTGCCTCATGAGGCCTTAAAGAAATGTAGAACTGAATATCATCCGCGAACAGTGATGAGATATCTTTAAAAGTGCTCAAAATGTGCTCAAGAGGGAGCAAGTAAACCAGAAATAACAAGGGCCTTCTAAAGGCAGAAGTTCCATGTCCGCAGAATGAAAACTCATTATTAATGTCGAAGTATTCAAGTCCTGCTTCCTAAAAAGAACTGATCTGCTCATGTAAGCAGTTAATTCGCTCTTTAATGTTGTCATCAAGTCTACGACGGAGTAAAACCTGCAAGCCGGGACAAAATCTCACGAAAAAAGAACTAAATATGCAAGAAAACAGAATATTCATTAACGTCCTTTAAACCATTACTGTTGCATCAAAATGTAACAAGGTGAATTCAGATGTCAGGTAGTTTAGAGTTTAACGAGAATCCTTTAACTTCTGCCCATGAACTGTTGCTCAGCCGCCGATACAGCTAGCACACCCCGGCTAACAGGCTAACATGTTCTTGTAGCTCATCTCAACCGCAATGAAAATAACTCACCTCGCGAAGCACGCAAACAAGACGCCCAGCTGCACCTAGTTATTGTGTAAATAAAGGGGAAAAGTATGGAAATAACTTAATGAAAAGACATGTCTCTCACATTATAGCAGCTTCCAGTGTTCAGTTCCTGCTTTTGAAAGTGAAGGGTTACAGGCTTAGTTGTCCGGGTAGTAGAGACTTCAAGTGAATTAAAAGTTCCGACTCCAGTCGTGTATTAGCAGTAAAATGTCAGGAACTGTCCAACAGTGATGGTTTTATCTAGATCAAGGCATATATCTGAAAAATCTGGTGTCACTTGGAATCGTCTGCAGTTAGTGCTAGATATCACATTATTCAATGAAGATAACCTCAACCCTCCCAAAAAACAACTTTCTTTCCGTAAGTGACTGGTGTCTGATTCGAGTTTTCATATAGTTCTTGATATTCCTATTTATTTCATAATCAAACTGAGAATTTTGAACGACTTACAGCAAGTCTGCAGCAAAAACTTCATGTATGTATGTATGTATGTATGTATGTATGTATGTATGTATGTGTTTGGCAACAATAAAACTCATGATATGGTTTGTGAGGAGGCCTATAGCAGACTGGAATGACCCAATTTCAAATCATATTGCTATGAAGAATTTGGTTGATGCATCCATATTGATGATTTTCAAGCTCAACTGTAAGAAAGAGAGAATATGATTGGGTTAAACTTCTTGTAGTGCTCTTGTACTGAGAAATCACACAACTATTTAGGGCGAAAGAGGCCAAGCATTTGGAAGGACTATACAGAGAAACCAATCCCAATGAAAAGTTCAAGAAGGAGTATAAACAGATTAGTAATAACTCATGTTCTGTTGATCATTCTCATCACTACAGTTTGCTTCAGCTTCTCCATCCACTTCAGCTCATGGCTTAAGGTCCATACATCCATCCGTTTTCTGTACACGCTTTTCCCTAGTGGAGTTGGGAGAGGTGCTGGTGCCCATCTCCAGCGAATGTTTCGGGCAAGAGGTGGGATACATCCTGGACAGGTCGCCAGCCTGTCGCAAGGCAACACAGAGACAGACAGGACACACAACCATGCACACACACACTCACACCTAGGGAGAATTTAGAGAGACCATTTTTTACTTAAGGTCATCAAAGTCAAACTGTGGCTAAGAAACATAAGACTGGCTCCCTTGCAATTCAAATCAATTTTAATTGCATCAGAATTGATTCCACAAATACTCAAATGTTGCTCCTCCATCATACTGCTAACTAATGCTAGCTGGTCAGTTTGTTTCCTGCATCTCTTGCAACGTCATGAACCCAAGTGCAAACAAGTGAGACACAACCATTTTGTTCTTCATTGCTCTTAAGATGCCTTGTATTTTCTTGCAGGTGGGTGGGAGTTGGTGAGGGGGGTGGGTGGGGAGGAGGGTATTCTCCATTCTCCAGATGTGTTATTTTTTTCTCAGTATATATTTATCAGTGAAAAAGTACACCTCAAGTGGGAGCTTTAAAATACACATAATTTCCAAAAAATTGCAATATTACTGTTTGTGCACATGTATGTCTGTGTATTTATTACCTACTTAAGAAATATGGTCTGTCTTCATATCAAGACATTTAACCAAAATAGTTGGTTAAATGTTCACCCTTGACATATTTTACAACAGTAGAAAAAATATATATCATAGCTTGCACTAAATTACTAAAAGGTCTGATGAATATAAAGGCTTAAGAACCTAGAAGATACTCTGACATGACTTTGGGGTTCCCGGCCTGGTTCCATATATACTGTTGGATAACCTGCAAGCTCATTGGTACAGTGTATCTCTGTGTTGAGCTGTCTATAATATCAAACTTAATATAAAAAATTGCCTTTTCTCTGACAGCTACACCTGGTAGGTGTGAAAAATAAATCAATGCATGAAGACTATGCACATATATGCTTTCAGATCTACATTTATTTCATTCTTTATTACAAGCGGAATGTGCATAGACAAGAAACAAAAGACCAAGAGAAAAGACAATCTGAAGCTTGGAGTCTTGAAAAGGACATGTAAGGTCATTTAAAAATCATGAGCACACACAGATTTAAATAGAAAACATTTGAAATTCCTGGGAATGGACGCTCCTATCAGAGGACTCCAGAGGTCGGGGAATGGCCAGAGGCTTCTTTCTGTTGGTAGACCTCAGGACAGGACCATTGTCTGGAATTCTGGAGAAAAGTGAAACATTTTGAGTTAACCATGTTGCATTCAACATCTGAATTAAATGAACCACAAGACAAAATTTTTTGTCTCTTATCTAATTATGTTCTTTGCTGAAAAGTTTGCAAACCTACATTATGATGTTTCATTTTTATACACATGGCCTCTGATAGCCTGAAAACATAAAACTAGTATGTCTAACTTGTCCTATGCACATAATGCTTTTGGGTTTATGTGAAAAAAAAATCATTTTTTTTTTTTTTTCCAGTTCAGGTAAATTTAGTTAGCTTCAATTCAAAGTACGTCATCTCAACAAATTTCACAAAAAAGTAAGTTCTGTTCATTTATACATAACAATTCTTATATATCAAACAATGCAGTTAAGTTCAGTTTATTTTTCAAACTGGGTAAAATGCTTATTCCTCCTCTAACCTTGCATGTAAATGCATGCACAGTGATGAGGAATAATATGTGAACTTCGTAAGAAATTGACCAGAAACCTTAATGCATTTTGTAAAGTGTAAATAAAATAATGTATAGTTCAAACTATGTGCAAGCAAAGATCTGAAAACCAGCTTTGTGCATCCAGAAACGACATTGTTTGCCAATTCTTTGCAAAATAGCTCAAGGTCAGTCAGACTGGAGAGGGAATGTCTGTGAACATCAACATTTCAAGTCCTGCAACAGATTTAGGTTTATAATTTGTCTGATCTGAACTTTTCTGTTTAAACTCCAGCTGTGAATTTAGAATTGTTTTCTTGACGGAAGGAGAGCTTTCTGATTGGCTGTATCAAAGGAAAGGGACTCAATTTGAAGTGAAACATTTTGAAAACCAGGCAACATTTTCCCGAGCAAATTTAGTGCCATAAATTTGCTTGGATGTGTTTTTTTTTTTAGTTCTATGATGGGAGAGTTAATGGACTCAGCGTTTCCTGCCATTTTAAACCTGGACGATGTGAAAAATGAGACACCAACCATCCGCTCCAATTCTGCCGTCACTGTTCTCATCGGCTGATGAGACAAATTTCTTGGTTTCTGCATCGCTCAGGGTCCGTGCCCCAGGGACGAACCGCTGCAGGAAGAACCTACAAATACACACACACGCACACGCACACACAACAAAACATGACACTGAAACACTCATCACTGAGCTCTCATCACACCAGCTGAATTATATAACAAAATATAACAAGAGTGCTTATCCTGGTGTGTGAAGCTGAAATGCCCAAGTATTTAGTTTGAGAAATGAACAGAACGGTTCCTAAAAGCCTGAATTTTGATTGGGAAAGTCTCAGTTTTCTCTTCAACCCAGACCTCAAAATCCAATATGGCTTTTGAGCCATATTGGATTTGGCTCAAATCTAATATGAGCCAAATCCAATATGTCAAGATTGGATTTGACACATTGATTAAATCAAGATTAAGTCAAGATTATTGACTTAATCTTGACTTAATTTGCTCAAAGTTGTGCAGCATTCATATCTCACTTTATGTTTTCTTCACTCTCCATTAGTGAACATGTCGCCATGGTAACTGAGAGAATAAAATGCATCAAAATAAAGCATTCTCCTCCTTTAAGAAAATTCCTGACAATCCAGAGTTTCCTCTTCATGAGATTGTTTTAGAACATCAGAATGGCTTCAGTCAGAGGCTTCTTCTGAACTGCAGTAACACAAACTGCTATAGGAGATGCTTTCTGCCCTCAGCCATCAACATCAGCAACTCTTTAAAAAAATGGCACAATATGAGTTACAAAAACATTTAATTTACGAAGAAAGTATTTTGGATTGAATTTAATTTATTGCTGGGAGTTAATCTGGTCTCTGAATGTATTGTTCATCAGATTTCATTCCCAAATCTGAGTTAAATGTTGCACTGCAAAGTAGCCAATTTATTCATATTTACCAAACAAATACTATAGCTAAACATTGCCTAAAGGCTGAAAACTGCAGTAAATACAGTGGGATTGTCAGTATCTGAGGAATAACAAGCTCTCTGTCTCCCAGGTGAGTTTTTACCCACTTGAGCTCAGATTCCTCGATGAAGCCGCTGTTGTCCTCGTCAAGGATCTGGAACACGTCTCGTACCTCCTTGGGTGTCTTTGAGGACAAACCACACAGCTGGAAGAACTTCTTATGGCAGAACGATTCTGGAGCTGCTCAAAGACACACACACGCACACACACACGTAAAGCAAACACAGAGAGTTTGTCATGACCCTGACAGTCACCTGGTTGGTCGCGGTTGTGAGGATTAAACCAGCATGTGGCTGTGTTCTTGTTTTTCATTTTTAAAAGCCCACAGACGTGTCCGGTGCCGAAAACGGAATGAATCTTTTCAGACTCTGATATAAAACAAAGTGTGGAGAGGATTAAACTCTTATATGATGGAAAGTGTGTTTAAGATATGCATAGCACTGAGGCATAACATTTTGAAGTATTTATTATTTTATTGACTTAATCTTACAAGACTTTTGATCTTGTTGGGAAAATCAAGCTGAATTACTGACTGAACAATTATTAATTGTCTGAATTTAATAGGATGGTGTATTTTCAAGACGAGGTACCTTCACAGTCCTTGACTGCATTTTCAATGGCCTCTGCTGAAAGAATGGAGGTGAGTGACATGTTGGTCCTGTAACATACAAAAGAAAATAAATTATGAGCATAACCACACAAAACATTATATATATATTTATTTATTTTTTCATTTTTGTCTACTTCATGCTTTATGTGTTTCCTCTGGATCTAATTTTGTGTCACAGTG